GATGCGCAAGTATCCGATGCACCGCCTAACTAACGATCCAGCCAACAAGAGTAGATGGAAAGCTCTAGCCCATTTCTGCAATCGGCGGTATTGGACTCGGCGTTGGATCATCCAGGAAATCGCCCTTGCAGGTCGATGCGTGATCCAGTGTGGCGACAAGACCCTAGACTGGGACGTGTTCCAAGCAGTTTGCCTTGAGATCGTCAGACCCAATCCTTTGCGGAACGATTTTGCTCCTGGTGTGCAACTCGTCACCTCGATCGGACAAAGTTTGGCAGTTACCTATGCCAAGCTTCGCAGCCAGCGAACGAAAGTTCACAGTCTGCAGTTCCTACTTGAAGCTTTCGAGCAAGCTCGATGCAAAGAGCCAAAGGACAAGATCTTTGCCATCCTCGGACTGATCGACCATTCGTCCCGCGAAACACTCGTCGCGGATTACAAGAAGTCGCTCTTCGAACTCTGGGTCGACGTCGTCTGGTACATGCTTCAGGGCTATGAATCAAAAACGCCACTTGGGAGACGCTATCTCGACTTCCCCAAATCCATCGTCCGGATCAGTCAGTGCGTGCAGAGGAATCTCGGGGACGTCTCGAGGGACATTGAAAGAGATGTCTTAGAGACTCTTTCAGCTTCTTTGCCTGTTTCGAGATCCGTAGCTCCTGGAGTGACTCTTCTCCAAGGGCTTCTAGGAGGAGCTATCACCCATCTCCATCCCTATACCGAGGATCTCTTGGCCGGCGAGGTGGCCCATACATTTCGTGGCCTGTCTTCTTACCACTACCGACCCAATAATACTTTGAGAAGAACTGACATTCTTCAACAAGGTCTCGGAATAATCGATGATGCTGATAAGCAGAGAGTGTTGTCATTCAACAGCCGCATCTCATATGGAATGATGGGTTGGGATCCTCGTCCATACAAAGCACGCGATGATGTGCAAGCTAGGTCAGTACTTTCCCCCTTTCTTTCCCGATGTCTTGAGCTCCGAATTCCAGTGTTTCGGCCGGATCCTGAGATATCGAGTAATAGTAGTGCTAACAAGACAATTAGTAATGAGGCATTAAATTCTGGAGCACACGGTCGACCTCCCGTCAGACGCAACAGTCTCGAAATCCAGCGTCCTGGAAAGATGCAACTATTCCTCAGCAAATCAGGCATGATGGGCCTCGTACCCTCCGAAACCAAGACCGGAGATATGATCTGTCATTTCTTGAACTGTGATGTCGCTGCTGTCATTCGTCGAGAGGGTGATAAATTTTTGTTTGTGGGTAGAGCTTTGGTTTTTATTCGGGAGGGATCTTGTGGTATGAGGCTCAATGATGAGACGAATCAGAACTTCAAGTACTTGGTACCGAATGAGGAGGAGTTCCCGGCAAGGACGAATGGGATGAGTTTCTACGTTGATGTTGCGACTTTGCAGCTCTTGACAAGATAAACTATTGGAGATTGTCGAAGAGAATCGTGTTTTTCGCCAATGATTTTTGTTCTACTCGCAAGACTCACTGGCTTTGAAGATTAGCATCATTTACCACCACTTATGACTCAGAGAGTTCTCAAATTTTATTATCCACCCTTGGGTTGTGAGCAACTAGAAGTTATCTTTGTCCGATAGATCGTATGGGCCAAATTATGATTCAACCTGACATCACAATATATTGCAACTATCCTTCGTTTAGTATTTCTCTCTTCACCTCCCCTTTCTGTGCTCGCTTAATTTCGGCAACAACGCCCCCCTCTCTCACTATACTTTCAGCTCTTCTACCCTATCTTCGTCTTCGTAACAAGCTGCACCCTTCCTTGCACGTCCTCAACTCGAACTAATACCGTCTGCATCCCCCTTGTTCTCAACATCTTCTTGATCACTCCATCATTACCCCTACCAACCTCTCCAACCCACCCTTCCGTAGCTGGCCCCAACATCTGCGCAACAGCAGCCCACGCCCCTCCAACCTGACTTAACCCTCCCATTCCCCAAAATACCAACCCAGTAATCACCACCAAACATAAATGAATCCCCACAACAGCCACTACAACCGCATACGCCGTCCACTTCAATGGACGCGTGACCTGCTCTAAAACAATCATCGACGAATCACTCGAGACGTCAAACATACCGACTCGGTCATAATACGTGATCGCCAAAACAGTAGTAAGGAAAGCTTGTAAAGTGACTGCCGGATCGGCTGTAATACCCCCCATATGAGAGAATACGGAGTATTGCGCGTCGTTGAGGAAGTTCTGGTACATCCTGTCGCTGGAACCTATTGAATCGAGTGCGGACGTCGTCGAGAATGCTCCACCAGTCAGATCTGGAAATTCAGGACGGTTGACCCATCCCCATACACGAGGCTGTAGAGCGAAAAGCCCTCGGTCGGTGATGGAGAGGTCGGGGTTACTGCCGAGCTGCTGTTGGACGGATGAGGTGTTCCAGGTTGCTGTCGTGGTATTCCAGGTAAGAGCCGGTTCTGAGAGTGCAGTGTCGGGTCTGGTGGCATTGATGAGGAGTTCTTGGGCGGAGAAGGCGGTCATACAGAGGGTGAATTGGAGGGTTACGGAATTTGTTGAATCGTCTGTTGCTTGCAAAACGAGGTTGGTCCAGACGTCTGAACTGTCGAGGGTGGTTACTGATGAAGTGGAAGTTGCGTTGATGAGGAGGTATGATTTGCCTAGTTCTTCCAATCCTGGTGGGTCCATGACGGAGTAGATACCTAGATCATTTGTAAGTGCACATTTTAGAAGTGTGATGGCCCCGATGGTTTTGGAGAAAAAGACATACCTTGCTTTGAATTGTCCGCGGAAGGTACACACAGAGCCAGCGGCCACCCATTCGTCAGCGAATAATTATTAGACGCCGCTGCTCCAAACCCACATTGAAACGACATGGAGTAATTACTACTTCCATTATCGTCAGGGGTCTGCAACAGCCCTGCCGGCGCCTGTTCAATATCCACCAATCCAGTAAGTAAATATCCACTTCCGGACGTGAATTCTACATTGGTGAGGTTTGGACGGGTACAAACGACCCGCGTATCGACTGCGGTACCAAAGCCCGAATACTCTGTTACTCGAGTACGATTGTTGATATCCGCTATTGGGAGAAAGGCCCGTACCACGGTCCCCGAATCTCGAATACCAGGCGTACTACTCGGCGGGTATTCGCCGTGTTGCGCACGACTATCTCCGAGCGTAGTATTCGATACCCATTCCGCAAATGCTGGATATCCCTTCGGTGTTATGTCTAGATACGAGCGGACGGCTCCAATCTGGGAGCTGAAGGTTGGACCGTCGGGGTCGGTTCCGTAGTATGTTTGTGCGGTGGAAAAAACTGGAAGAGTCGCAAGCCCGACTTGCGAAAGGAGAGCTGTCGATGTGAATTGTAGTGCTAATGTTGTGACACTTAGTAGTATCGCGAGGATAGCGATGGGAAATGAACCAATGTGCCAGTTCGTCCGCATCTTGCTCAAGAGGGTCCACGGCCCTGCATTCTCAACGCGCATGATTGATAACCCAGCGGCGGCATGGAGAGGAACTGCGCATCTCTGCAATAGAATTGCTGCGAGCATCGACGCGCATATCGTTGCCTGTGCGGCAGTAGCCCATCTTAGAACCAAAGAAGTGATAGTCACAGATCGAGTCACCCACCCCGCCAACACTATCTTTCTCCAAACGGCATTGTCTGTGTCAGTAGCCCAGAGAAAAGTGAGGAAGGCAAGACAACCAAAACACATTAAGAACGAAGACAGTAACAAGGTGGTTGAGAACTTCCCAAGGCGGGATATGACATTGGACCGCTTGTTTGGGTAGAGAGGAGGATGGGTTTGGTTGTCGACAGGGCTCTCTGTTATGAGAGAACCAATGTTCGGTTTGTTAGGGGTGATGGGGTGGTATGATGGATTCATTTTTGATGTATCCTAGAGTTTCAAAGCGACATATAATGTTAAATGGATAAGCGAAGAAAACAGCAGGAGCATGCAACATACACATCAATGATCGAGAGAAAAGGATAATTTAAGACAAGTCAATTCGCTGTTATTTAATCATGCTTCTAATATCCTCGGCTCTGATAACCAGTTCTCATGTGTAGTGTGCACCACTGATGAGCTGAACCCAGCCGTGCGCCATGAGGTTCTAGCCGAAGCCACAGGTGTCGTTTCTGTCAACCCCACCAATTGTGCTGCTAGACCTCTACTTTTCCGTGCGTTGTGATAGGTGGCCTTGCTTGATGCTGTTCTTAAGGTTTGGGAAGGAGGTCACACGCTTCAGCGAGTTCAGCTCATTGAGAAATGTAAATGCCATGATGTTATTCTCCACTCCTGTGAGGCTGTCACAATTACCGGTTCCTGTTGATTTGATTTACGCTGCGAGTAGAATTATCTCTGCCTCGCATGCCACTGAAAACTTCAAATTTCAGCACAGTAATCTTGAAACAATTTGTTCGAGAAAGAAGAACATCCGTCCCTTCTTCGTAGAATTTGTTTGTTTAACCCTGTGTTATGTGAACCCACTTAGGTAGATGTCATACGTCTAGGCGTTGAGGACTAGAGGCTCAGCGCTCAAATGAGAAGTAGTTAAACTTCAAGCTAGAAAAACTGGAGTTTATGTGAATTGACAAGTTTGTGCATTAAGCTCATGGCATTTGTAGAGATGCGGGATATGGAGGAGATATACTTCAAGATAGCATTCCCATTTTGCTGTCAACAACAAACTCATCGATACTTGAAGCCTTCAAAATGTCGAACACTAACTTCAATTTAGTCAAGCAACAAAATCGCAGCTACTTAAACCCTCCAAAAGCCTTTCTTTCTCGCATCCTTCTCCTTGCTTCAACCCCCCCTGCCCCCCCGTCTCGCTTACCAGTTCAAGCAAGCCTCTCGACCCCACAAAAAAGCCACAACATCCGCACAAAAGCCGAAAAAATTCTAACATTAACATGTAACGAAATAAGAGCATTATCAACATCCAATCAGCGTTTCTTCGCCGAAAAGGTATTTCTATAAATAGCGTTTGTGGTTTAGTGGTAAAATCCATCGTTGCCATTTGTGTCAATTCAATTGACACGAACAGATTCGATGGGCCCCGGGTTCGATTCCCGGCGAACGCAATATCATTTTTTTTTTTTTTTTTTTTTGGTTTTCTTTGTTGTTGTCCATATATGGGTTTCTGTGCGCGGCTGCCAGCATAGTCGAGGTGCGGAGACGCGCGTTTCCTGCTCCTTTTTTTGGTCTCCCCGATCTCATTTTTCTTGCAATTACGAAGGCGGGCAGGGCAGCATTGAAATCCGGCTATTTTCTGATCGCCAAGCACCAATCCCGCCTCCCTACCATACCGTGCCGAGAAACTGCATGGTAAAACCTTTGGCTATGAGTAATCCAGCCCCCAGTTTCCCTCGGCTTTGAGCAGAATTGAGTCCTAGAAACCCTACCTAGGTACAACGACCACCTCCTCCACCACCTCAGCCTATTGCCTGTACGGGAAACTACTGTATCCAGCCTTTGTCTGCGACTCCTGCATATACGACGAACTACAGCCCGCACGCAGCATGCGCGTTGTAGCCTCACCTTAACCCCTCGCCATCACGGCCGCCCGACATCTTCTCTTTATTGACATGGCCGGGATTGGAAATCGTCACCTCGAATCGTACCTGAGAACGCAAGTGCTGCAACTCTTCACGTTAGTAGTCACGAAACTAGTTACTCAGCAATACCTTAGCAAAGCTTTCGCACACCCTAGCGGCGCCATATTCTTTTTCAACTTCTGCATCAAATTTGGAGAGTCCGTGACCCTCGCGGAGGCACACACACGCTTCGATTCATTGCAGAGCACACCTCTATTCCCGTACCCAAAGTATACCATGCTTTCACACATCGCGGCAAAACCTACATACTCATGGAAAGGATTCGTGGGGAGACCACGGCAAAGAGATGGCGTCTGCTTTCAGAGACGTCGAAGGCATCAATTTTCATCCAACTGAAACAAATGATCGAGGAACTCCGGTCTATACCCTCCGACTCCATGACTGTCTCTAATCTAGAGGGCGGTCCAATCCAGGATTGCAGATTGCCCCAATCGTCCTCATGGGGACCTTTTAAGTCTGTCTACGACTTCCAACTGGCACTGAGGAATAATGTGATGGTTCATTCTCTTGAAGCACAATCCCACAGCTCACCAGGTCCTGCTGCTATTTCGGATGTACGAAATTGATCGAGTTCCATGAGTCTGTATTACGACCACTAGTCTTCACTCACGGCGATTTGAGTAGCTTTAACATACTTCTCCGCGACGACCAAGTAGTGGGCATCATTGACTGGGAAACCGCTGGGTTTTGCCTTATTACTGGGAGTATACAATGGCATGGCATGCTAATCCTCAAAACCTTTTCTGGCAGAAAGAAGTACACAGATTTTTGGATCCGTATGAGGAAGAATTGAGGATGGAAAAACTACGGCGTACATATTTTGGGGAAATCTAGTTGTCTTCATGAATGCCTTTCAAGCAATCACTTCCTTCCTCTCCAATGCATCCCATGTTGGTACTTAAGTCAAACTCCCCCTCCCCATCAAAGCGATGATCAGCAGCCTTCTTCGCAACGTACCACATAGCAGTATCCTTCACACATGTCCAATCAGTTTGACAGCTCCCCAACGCCTTGCTGGAATGAGCAACCCAGCTCAGTGCCTCCTCTATCCAAGAAACGCAATTCCAATCGTCATATCCTTGAAGGGCTGCACGTATGGGGGTTTTAGTAAAAGCCCTCTAGACGTTGCAAGCAGAGTTGCAACCCTAAATGACCTCTCGGAACAGACGCGCCTGCCACAAAGAGGGACCATAGCAGCGAAATGCCCCAGATGGCCACTCTGGCGAGCAATGCTATATCAACTTGGTGAATCTGAGCTTACTTTTAAGAAATATCGCGCTCTTCCCAGCCCCCATTCCCCAACTCCATCCCAGAACCGTCGACATCTTACGATGTGATCAAAGCCGTCTTCCTACGAGATGCATATCAAGGCCTGCATAGCATAGATACTACCACCGTTTGAACAGTATATGTCGTCGCAACTAATCGTCATTCCTCACTCGATACCGCGTTTACAAAAACGAGGCTCGGCTCGCTTAGGCGGTGCTTCCCAAAACATCGCTACCACAAAGACACGCCCTCAAAGCCTCACGGGGCATTCTTTGGGTATTAGCCAAGTCAGCAAGTCGAAGGAACAGAACAAAGTCCGGCCTGGGGTACACATACTGCGAGACTTGAGTAAAGCTGCCCAGATTCTTCGCTTGATTGCCCGTTCAGAAATGTTGCGTGTCATTGGACATCTTCGATGTGGAGCATTTAGTTCTCCCGGAGCCAGGCCAATACTGCAATCGTAGCTTAATCGGGATTGAGCCTTAAATGGATGCATCTGCAATCGAAGCCCATGGAGTTCGAGGTGGTGCATGAAGCTCTAATCGGTTACGGGTTCTTTGAGCAGCGGAGCAGGAGGTGCAGTTTGCATGCATGGGTAAATTCAGGGTTCGCATCTGCAGCTGCACTACTGAATTTGAAGCGCCGTCTCCAGAAAGGAGGAAATAATGACAGAGTCAGACAGACATCTAGAAATAGGCAATGTCAATGCTGTTGAGTGGGCGTGACCCAGCCCTTCCCTCTGACTACACACCATAATGAAAGCCAACCCCCCTGGGAGCTAATAGATAGTAAGACGAGATCCGCCGCCAGAAGCATACCTGAATGACATCGAAGCTGGAGCAGTGAGCTGCGGTTGGCCGTGAGCTTCCCAGTCAGGTCACAGTACGGCCCCTTCTTCATTTGGCAGACGTATCTTACATCTCTACAGGAACATACCCCATGGCAGTGCGTCTTATGCCAACTCGAATGTTGTTGTTCTTGACCACCGGGCGCGGTGAAGGCACCAGGCGTCGGGCAAGGAAGGCTGCACGCGATGTTCCCGTCGCAAACCTGGACCGCGACCACCATTTGCCAAAATCCTGAACGTGGGAATATTCAAGGGCGCTTCATTACTTGAGGGCTCGATGGATCTATTGAGATACTTCGTAGTCAGATGATGAGATGGGGCTCAGTCGCTGTATCGCCTAGCCTTAAGTGGGTTTGGGGTCATCGGCTGCTTCACGAACAAGGCCGCGTCGCCACGAGTCCGCGACCACCAACTCAATCAATATCCTGCCAGGTTTCCTGCCAGGACTCTGCATACCTTCGTCCTTCGATATCTCGCTCCCGCGGGCAGCAGAGAACGACAGCTTGCCGCATACCATACGCTTCTGTCTAAGAGGAGTACATTCGCTGACATCATGGCAGAAGTCAGGAATAACTCCTATCTTAATGACAAATACTGACTTCAATATTAGGGAGATAGCCCACGACCGACAGAGCCATCTACAATCATCACTGCGATTTGGCAGACGGGCGAAGATGAAACGTGTACAATCAGAGTTGGATTTGCAAACCGAGTGCAGATTCATGGCAAGAAGGTCAACCTGGTCAAGATAGATCAAAGCGATTGGGAGGAGACCGTGCCTCCGAACCATACATGTACTGTAATTACAGGCGAGGGAGTTACATTCAAGGTGTCATCTTAAGCTGAGACTGTTTCGCGGGGAGAGGAGCTCCTAAACATGCTGAGGTCTTATCTGATGCGAAATCCACCTTTATAATCAAGCAAGAGGCATAGCCATACAGGAGGAGGGATGTCATGTTCTGTAAGACTATAATCCTCCGGAATGTGAACATTTTGGAACACCAACTTGATTGCCTCCGTGGTTTCCATACCTAGTTCATTTCTTTTCAGTGATACGGCTGCATCATGTAGCGATTTAGAAACGCGTTGCCAGAAGTCGTACGCCCTCCCATTCCATGGTGGCGAGATCCTGAAAACATTGTCAACCGGTGTCAGGTCGCATATCTCTTTACGGACGGTCGACCCCTCCGAGAATGCTTGGAACCTAACTTCGGGAGGCGGCCTGGATTCTTCTAGTCCATTATTCAGCCAAATCTCTTGCCCAGGAAATCGGATGCTTCTTACCTTCCTCGTTCAATCTCTTTCGTTTCGCTGGATTTGTTGGCGGTGTTGGGGGTCGGTTGGAGTTCCGCTGGGAAGAAACATCTCGTGACCGGGCTTGGTATGCTGCCCAGTCCACCATGAGTTTGTCTTGGATGTCGCTCTCACAGGAGTCAAAAGCTCTCTTGAAGAACTTGTTCGCCTCTTCTTCGGCGAGGATATAGCTATCCGCAACGAGCCCGCAATATTCAGCCACTACTGCACGACTGTCGATGGATAAGGATCCGACGAAGACGACGAGTACGAAAAGACTGAGCGCGATAGCGAGGAGGAATACAAGGATGAGGGTGAGGGCGATGAGGGAGATCGTCACTTAAAGTCTGAGAAGGGGATGTTGCAGATGAGAAATACCAGATGTGCCGACATTGTTGTCCCTCTCTGGCCAGCCAGTTATGATAATTAGTAGCTTCAGCAGGTTGCCATTCCGCCGACGGAATATTCGGCATTTCATCCCAGTGGCTATTGTTGGCGTTTTTGGAGATAAAAGACCCGGACTTAGGCAGCTGTAAGAAGAAAACATCGAAGACCTTGGGATGATGACTAAGGATCTGACCATTCTTGGACTTGTGAACTTGGTCGAAGATCAAAAACAAAGGTGACCAGAAGCTCGATGTTCCATTATTGGACTTCAAAAATCGCACTTAATACCTGGATCTACCTATTCATAACAATGGTACCCGGTTTTCTATGTACGATTGGCCTTTGCCCGCATTCGCAACTAGAACACTAGTTTGATAGATAACACCTCATGTCGAATCAGTCAAATATGACACTTATAAAATGGCGTGCAGCAGGTATGAAGAACCCCAAATATTCAAATCCTATATTGACGAACTCTGTAGTAGAATCAGGGTGTGTTCCTTTGAACCGCGTGGAAAAAATCACAGTAGAAGTTATGAACAAGGATGTGGAGGAAGGAATTAAATAATGCGGATGTTGTTGCGAACAAATAAGGTGAGATAGGGTGGGATCCTCATTCAACGCCCTGTGCATTCTCAGGACCAGAATTTTGAGTAAGTAAACAATGAGA